CGCGGGCCTCCAAGGGCCCTTGCCCGGCAGGGGAGGCCCTCGGCTGCCCCTCGGGGTGGCAGGGAAGCCCAGACTACGTAGTCATAAAACCCGGGCCTGGCCCTGGCGGCCTCTCAGCCTGCCTTCGAGGAGGCGGGAGGGGCCGCTGCGCCTCCCGGCTTTGCTGCCTTCTCTGGCTTCGGGGCTAGGAAGGATTGCTCCAGGCGGCTTCAAGGGCCCTGACTCCGCAGGGGAGGAACTGGTGCTGCTCTTGCTCCCCCACCCGTTCCTTCGGACTCCTTTCCGCGTTCCATCCATCTCGAGCAAAGGCTGCCAAGTCTCCGGGGCTTTTCTCCGGTCGAGGCCTCTTAGCTAAGAGTTCAAGGCCTCCCAAAGAAACCCCACCCCAGGGCGTGAGGCCAAGTGGAGATTCCGTCCCGGGGACGAGCTGAGGCTGCTCCCCGCGAAGCTCCCCACTTCCTGGCGGGCAGAGAACAAGGTCAGGGGGCGGGGCTTGGATCTTTCCACGTGTCCCAGCCGAGTCCTGGGCAGAATCCCCCCGCTACTGGCTGGCGGATGCTGAGCCCTGCCTCCTCCCCTCCTTTTGGAGCTCGGGACTTGGAGTCTGCTGTGTGGTTATTTTATTTTATTTATGTTCTATGTTATGCTATGTTATTTTTGTTGGCGGCTGGCCGGTAAAGAGGTGTTATGACACCACATTCTAACCAACTGAGCTAACCGGCCAGCCCCTCTGCTGTGTGCTTTTAAGCAAGTCATTTCACTTCCCTGAACTGCTGATTCTCATTCACAAGTTTGCTGTCCACCTCACAGGGTTGCTGTGATAATAAAATAAAATGAAAGATATGAATCTCTAAATGGTTAGAATGGTTTTTAGTGTGGTAGTAGAAAGAGCCACTGTCATGTCCACTACACACTAGATGCGATTTTAGGCAATCCTTCACCCCTTCGAGTCCATTTGCTTACTTGTAAATTTAGGAAAATCTTGCTTGACCCACAGACTTGAGGCTGTGAAACTAGGAAGAGAGTGCTGATGTTGAAGTGTTCATACATTGCTAAATGCTTATCAGTGTCATCACTGTGTGGGTCTTCGGCCACTTCACATGTTGGTGGTCTGCTGAACTGCAAGTCTGTTTTGAGCAGAAGCCAGTATTTCCTGTTTTCCCCAATATGCCAGAAGGACTGAGGATCCCCCATCAGGCACCTAGTATCTGGGGATTGGTGGGGGTCCTGGGGGTGCTCTCCAATGCTCAGGAAGACCACAAGGAGGAGCTTTCTTTCCCTTATCTCCCTTTAGCCAGGATTCAAGGATGGCCCAGGAAGGAGGAAAAGGAGGACTCAGACGTAGAACGGGAAACTTCAGCAAAGAAGAAATGAAAAGATCCTGGGGAACTGAGGAAGGAAGCAAAAGAATGGAAGAAATAGTGGGGAGATGGGAGAAATGGAGGATGGAGGAAGAGAAAGAAGGAAATACAGGAGTTTGAATACTTGAGTTCTGCATGTAGAACCTGGGAAATAACATGGACACCTTCTCTAGGTCACAGAGGTCTGAAGGAGTCTGGGTGTTTGTGTGAGGAGTGTACTCCGTAGCTTGAAGGCCCAGAAGCACCCATGTCTCTGACACTCACTTCCCTGCCTCCTTTGGGGCTACACCAGCCTGTGGTGGGAGGTGGGAAGGTACTGCCCTCAGAGGACAGAGGATGGGCTAGGGGCAAGCCCAGGGTGGTAAGAGCCAGCAAAGGCCCACCAGAACTGGAAAGGAAGGAACATGAGGGGACAGAACATGTACTGCAAACCTGTGCACCAGGCAATGTATGGACAATGTCTTGGAAGTGCAAGTAGGCTGGGCACTGGGTCTCTGTCCCACCTGTCAAGAGAAAACTCAAGGGTGATTCCTTTTCTTCTCATTTCAGCATTTGCCCAAGGCTTGGGTCCACTACTAGCAACCAAAGAATCTCTCTTTGCCATACCTGCCTATGTGTCCCCCACTGAAAAGATAAGGCAAACCTAAGAATTGTGTGCTGAATTGAGAGCTAATCCCATAGATTTTTAGAGTGGGAAGGGGCCTTAGATGCATCCTATCCTCCTCACTCACATTACAGAAGTAGAAAAGAGGTTAAGTGACCCAACTGGGGAGGTCAAGGTGCTTGCACAAGGCCGTACAGCTAGTTGGTGGAAAAGCCAGTGTGTCCTGCCTAGGTCCCCTGTCTTCTCCTCCTGTGCTATGTTCAATTCTTGCATTAACATCTTGTAGTTCCTTATTCAATAAAGGCAGTCTGCCTCCATTTACCACTGGCAGAAAACAAAAGGGCATATACTGGGGCAAGGCCTGGGGGTCCCAACATAGCTGTGGGACAAGGTCAGGGGACTCTAATGTCCTCTTAGTCGAGCCAGGTATGAATTTTTTCTTTTTTTTTTAAAAGATGACCGGTAAGGGGATCTTAACCCTTGACTTGGTGTTGTCAGCACCACGCTCACCCAGTGAGCAACCGGCCATCCCTATATGGGATCCGAACCCGTGGCCTTGGTGTTATCAGCACCGCACTCTCCCGAGTGAGCCACAGGCCGGCCCCAAGCCAGGTATGAATTTTAAAACCCTAGAACATCTGTTCTTTTGTGCCTCGGTTTCCCTAGTCTTTGAGGTTTGAGTAGAAGGGATGTGGAGAAAATAAGCATGTAGGTGGAGGGGATGGCCTCTTGTGTGCTGCAAAAAAATAGGGAAACTGGGGCATAGAAGAATGTGTTAAGATTTTGGTGGTCATTAGGTAGCTGTCCTGCGATAGGCCATGAGAGTGTCTGTGCCTTGGCCACAAGGCCAGCTGCGTGTCTGATGAGACAACCTAGCTTCTTCTCATGGCATCTCATGTGATCCTCCTGTACCCATGAGGCCCACTTCCTGAGGTGCCTGAGTCTTCACCCTTCTCCGTGGCCTTCAGGAGTCATCATGCCCAAGGACTGCATCCCTCCTGGAGGGCAACAACCCTGGAGCACAAAAGTTGGGATAGAGGAAGGCCTTGAAAATGGGATGTGTGAGGTGAGGAGGTCCTGGGGACCTGATTTTATTCCCCAACCTGTCTCATTTAGCTCTGCCCCATGTCTACCCAACCCCCAGGGCAGCACCAGTGGCCCCAGGGGCAGGAGCAGAATTACTGCTTATCACCCCCTGCCAGGTACAGTGCCAGATTCTACTACCTAAGACCCACAGCAGGGCCTCTCACCTGGAGGAGGTAAGGGGAGACACAGCCTCTGCCCTGTGCTCCTGAATGGGCACCTGTTGCTTTGAGGAGACTTGAAGGCTCTCCAGAGGGAGCAGAGCCTCTGTGGGGTGTATGTGTGTGAGCGTGGGGGGTGGAGGGGTAGGCTGTCATGTTCCTCTAGACCAGGTTGTGCATGGTCTCATTCTAGTAACAACCTCAGACTTGCTCTGTGGGGCTTGCTATCCTTCCAGGGGACTTTCTGATCCCAAGATTCCAATATTCTTCGACAATACCTGTGGTTCACTCATTCATTCACAAAGCAAACAGACTTCCATTGGGTTGCTGCTATGACCAGGCATTGTGCTAGGGGCAAAGGACATAGGAATGAGTGGCTCCTCTGATGACCCTTCTCCCCCTTACTGGGAGTGGTGGTGTATTATTTTGCATTGTCTTATGGAGGAAGGAAACCAGAAAGGACCCAATCAGAAAACAGACCCCAGGGGCCGGCTCCGTGGCTCACTCGGGAGAGTGCGGTGCTGACAACACCAAGGCTACGGGTTCGGATCCTATATAGGGATGGCTGGTTTGCTCACTGGGTGAGCGTGGTGCTGACAACACCAAGTCAAGGGTTAAGATCCCCTTACCGGTCATCTTTTAAAAAAAAAGAAAACAGACCCCAAGATGCTAAATACTGCCTTTCCAGGGGACCGTCAGTGAGGCCCTGGAAATTTTGGTCTCTGAGTTGCTTCATGCATCCCAAACATTCTCTAACTCTGGTCAGTCCAATACCCGTCTCTGCTAAGGGCATACTACAGAGGGTGCTGAAGGGCTGGCCAGAGCCAGAGCCCAGTGGAAACTTGAGGATGGGGAAAAACTGGAGGTCTCCTTTCTCCTGGGAAGAGAAGTGAATGGGTGTCTTCACCTGACAGGTGGGCCCTCAGCCCCTGCCATGACCCTTTTCCTTGCCTCTGGGTTTCCCCTCGTCCCCTGCAATCTCTGACCCTATAATCGCTAGAGTAGGCTTTGTGGGATGGGTACAGGGCTGGGGATTTAA